GTGTGTTTGAGTCCCATTTTATCCGTTGTGTATCCTTAGGGATGGGGGGCGCATAGCCGCAGGGGGTTAGTTTAGCGTGAGTTGGGATACCCCTACATTGAAAAAAAAAAATTTCTCCCCAACTTGAATCGTCTAGTTTGTCAAGGAAAAATATGAAATTGTTGAGGCTTTGTTTTTCTTTACTTTATCTCTGGAATCAAAAGTACCACGATATAAATTTCTTAAAATTTTATTTAATTTTTTTTTCACAATTTCTAGTTTTACATAATTATTCTACTACTGATAGAAAAGATATTGTATCTGTAGCTTCTACATTTATTTACTGAAAAAAATAAAGCTTCTACAAGGTACCTCTTGACCTTTTCTAAACTGAAGTCTAGAAATTCGGCTTTTATAAACCTAATCCCAGAAGAAACCTCAAAAGCCGGCAACTCTTGAGGTCCTTCCAGGGACTTATAAACCAAACCCAAACCCCCCCCAGAACCGATGTGGGATGGCAAACCCCACAAGGGCAAGCCAGTAAGGCCGCTGCTGCTAAGAAGTAAAGACCCATCACGACACTCAGTAAACTACCCTTGCATGAATTTGCCTCTTGACCTTTTCTAAACTGAAGTCTAGAAATTCGGCTTTTATAAACCTAATCCCAGAAGAAACCTCAAAAGCCGGTACCTGATCCTTCTTTTCTTTCTCTTAATTTTTTCCCACTTCTCTTACTCAGTGAATGGACCTCTGCACTACATCTCTTTGCCAGTTTGGATTGGACAGTAAGTTTTGCTACTAAGACCAGAAAATCAAAATTTAGCATGTCCAGATAATGTGATTGGACAACACTATCAAAAGTTGCAGAGACTCATTATTTATTTTGTTCTGTGAACAGCAGTAAAGAGGGTGGCCCTGAATGAGTTATTCTCCGTTAGTGGTTATTACTTCATTTGGTTAACGGAGTAGATATTAAATCAGACAGATGAAAAGACACCATCACATGTTTGATCATCAAAAGCAAATATGTAGAAAGTGCTCAATCTTTTCAATGTCAGTGCACAAATCAATAGCTGTTCCATTTGTATGGTCATTTTGGCAAGATATTATGAATTTCTTTAGAGTGTATTTCTAAGTTCTTTGGTAAAAAAATTATCGAACGCTAGCGGGTGTAGAGCAAGAAAAATTTGTTAATTGAAAGGATATGTTTCATGAAATTAAATCCTTTTTTTAAAAAAAAAAATTTACGCAAACAGTTAAGGTCTTGTTTGCATTGCTTGTTTTCGTCGAAAAATATTATCTTTTTCCGTGATCACATTTCCCTATCACCTTTTTCCCTTACATATATCAAATCGCTACAATAATTTTTCCATGAAAAATGACGGAAAATACAATCCAAACACAACATAAATTTTTCACAAATTAGCTACGTATCAATAATGTGTTGTGTCACATTATAAAATCTGTGCTAGGTAATGGGTTGTACATAATTTTGGCTTGCCTAACGCCTTATATATATATATATATATATATATATATTTTTTTTTTTTTCCAAGTTATGACTTGAAATTAGTGAACTTTGTATGTACCCAAAAACAAAGTGAACTTTGCCTCATTATGTTCATGACAAGTAAATATACCTTTCCTTAAGCTTCCACTTAAACAGTGAAGAAAAATTGACAGTTTATATATCCATTGCTGGAAGAGAGGCAGAACGTGTATCTCGTTTTTTAGAACGTCATGTGGGGTTCAAAAAATTTTATTTTATAATTACACGTTATTAAAAATAAATTAAATATAAAGTTATGTCGTGTACATTTTGTACCTAGCCTTCAGGAACGGTTGCTAAACCTGCCCCCCGTCCTTGCTGTTCAATTGTATAAGAGTCTTTGCCTCCAATTATTGTGCAGCATTCAGTTTTTATACATGTGTAGTTGGTGGTTGCTTTAGACTAATTTTGTACTTCCCTGTAAAACTTCTTCACTCAGAATCTATTTAACATAAGAGGTAACATGTATCATATCAAATGGCAGAGACATACCCATTCCTATTTAAATCATGGTACTAAGTTGGACCTTTGGGGCCCTAGCAACAGTGAAATATTAAACCATCGCATGTGCTTCATGGCTACCTATTTTATGCCCTTAGAGCTTGGACAGAATTTTAAGCACAAAAGGCGAAAAAAGGGTGAAACAAATTTGCTTGATTTGGTATTAGGTCCACCTATCGTTCGTATGAGAAGGCAGCGTATAGTCACGGCTGAGTGGTTCTACAAAACCAAAGCATGAAGTGCTAAGGACAAAGATTAGGGTTTGTCTGTACAAAGGTTGGTTGAACATTATTTGTATCGAGATAAGTATTAGAATTTTTTTTTAAACAACATGTATTTTAGTTTCTTTATTTTATCTTATATACATCATATCGAATATATAACTCTGAATTATTCTCTTGAAGTGAATCATAGATGATTTGATTGCCGGAAAGTGGTACAGTCAAATTTTTTGAAAAACGCAATCCAAATCTCCGGTGTTAAAATTTTTTATTTTTCTTTGTTGGGACATCGGAACCATTTGGCCAAAAGGAAGATCTGGCAATCATATGGGTAACACAACACGAGGCTTGATTTTTTTTTTTTAAAAAAAAAATTTATTTCTTTAATCTAGATATTAACTTCTGAAAGTTATAAAATTCTCTATTTTTGCTAATTTAATGTAGAATCCTACAAGAATTAAAGTATGATGCTTGAATACCATGCAGCCTCTAGAAATTCTGTGAAAGGGATTGAAGATGACAACAACTGCTGTACCCACGAGCTTCAAGTAACCAAATTTAGTGATTACTCAGCTCAGTGTCCACCAACGGATGTTGGTGCAAGTGAAAAGAACTTGCGTCCCATAATCATGAGGTTTCGAGTTTAAAATTCATGAGAATGAAAAGAATAATGTTGGAATAACTTTTTCTCACAAGGCATCTAATCTGACTCGAATATGATTAGTTGCAGACCATAAAAAGGAAAGCATATATCTGTGGTTTATGGAAAAAAAAATCTGATCCGACTCGAACATGATTAGTCGCAGTCTTGCAGACCATAAAAGGAAAGCATGCACCTGTGGTTTATGGAAAAAAAAAGAAAAAAAGAAACCTAGCTCAGTGTCCTACAATGCAGATTTTTACTCTTTATAAGAAGGGCGCATGAGTTGGAATAAACTTTTTGTGCTTGCGCAATATACTTATTGCTGCCAGATTTTCACATGCCATATGTTCAAGGGCCCAACCAAGTATGAACCCAAGATTGGGTTTGCTTGCATGCGTCTTCGCTTTTTGGGGACAAGAAGAAAGGTACTCTAGATTGTATGGTGATAGGAGGTGCCTTTTTACCTTTCATGAAGCTACTTTATCAAAAATTTAGCACGAAAGCGTTGTTTACTTACCATAACTGAAATAACATTTTTAGCAAGTTGTTTTATGAAAGTAATATTCCAAAGAAAGTTTTTGTTAATTTTTTCGGTTCTGTCCAAAGGGCACCCATGTTCAATGGGTACTCGTTAAGACATACTTCAAGTGTTAACTTCTTAAGCAGATAGAGTTAATTTGGAAAAATATATAAGTGTGAGAGAAGGAATTAATTATAAGCTTGTGCATAGACTTGGCAAGTTATGTTGGATAAGATGTATTAATGAGCGCTCAAAAATTTTTTTGGTTGCTTTAAATGTTACTTGGACATGAAATTAAAGAAAGCACAATTTTCATTTATCAAAAGTGAATGGATTACGACATAAATTTAGCTGAATAAAAGTGAGACCAGAACTAATTAAGTAGTGACTCCAATTTTCGATTCTGGTCCAGCGGAGTGATACCAATTCTTTTCGGTAGGCCCAGTGAGGATATGACAAAATTTGTACATTGTTAGGAGAAGTCTGCATTCAGTCATGACCCGAATTGTGTGCAGCCCATTTTGAGCCCGCCGATCTTTGCAATCAATAAGGCGAAAAAATGCATAATCAAATTTGCAATAGTGAGAGCAGAAGTACTTGAATTGAGATCAGCATTTTGCTTGGTTAAGCCAATTCGATTGAGATTAGTCTTCGTACTTTAGAGGACTAAAACTTTGAATAAAATTTTAAATACTATTGCTGAAGGGTTGACTTGTCTATGGGGATGCATATAAATTTAAGCATTTTGAGTGCCATTATTAGATAATTGCAAATATAAGTTGGCTCATTTGATAAGTACGAGTCATTTTCTCGTAAAGTAAAGGTCGTGTATTCAATCCCACTGTTGATGTGAAGAAATGTGCTGGTGGATGATTTGCAAAAAAATTTTTGTGAGCAATTTATCATATCAAAGGCACGCTCTGACCAGTGATGGTGACCGAAATTGAACCCTTTCAAACTTTTTTTATTACAATAAAAAAGATGACTTAAAATAAGCACTCGTTGAGAGATTATTCAGTTTTAAGTTTTTGAAAAGATAAATTTAATTAGAAAAATATATAATTGTAAGGAAAGATAATAATTGTTAGTGTATGCATTCACATGATAATTTGAGTGTGATTTAGGTGTATTAACGAATGCACAATATATAGATACTCATTAGAAAAATGTAAACTTAATTAGAAGAGTATTTTCTTCCTTTTCTTGATTAGATATCCGTTGGAGGCCTCTAATATTGTCATTTAATTCCCCTACTATTTTTGTTTAATTAATTTTTTACCATTGTTGGTTACATTAATTTCTCTTTAAGGTCACTGCTCTGCCTCATTATTGCTACTAGTAATAAGGGTTGACTCGATATGTGTGTAATTTAGTTGAATTCAAATCAATTCATACCTATAATTCCCATTATCCAATCCCTCTAATCTTTTATCTGCATTAGCCATAAAAGGCCCGATTTTAACGTCCCATTGCACTTTTTTCCACTAATTTATTTCCAACCAAAACCATCCGTTACTTGTTTTCCCCGTCATTCCCTCCTGTCACTCAATAAACTCTCTAAACTCAACTAATTTATCTATTCTTCCTTTTCCAACTGTTTTCTTTCGCATCCCTCTTACAAGATATTAAAGAAATGGAAGCGAAATCCAATCCCACAAATGAATTGGATCAAGGCCAAAAGAATAATGGAGGGTGGCAACAAGTGACATATGCTAAGAAAAAGCAACAAAAAAATAAGAAAAACCAAGCAACGAAAAAACCATCATCTGATCCCACCAAAAATATTATTGATAATAGTACTAGAAATGTGTTCGAGTCTTTGGAGAAGCATGCTGCTGAGAGGAGGAAAAATGTTGAGGCTCGAAAAAAGGCTGACATTTATGACGACGATGGAAAGTTTTTGGCAAATTCGTCAAATCATCGATCAGAAAATGGTGGCAGTGGAAAGAGTAGGAAGAATGGAGCTATGGAGGAAAAAGAGAAGAAGAAGAAGAAGAAGGAGAAAAAGGAGACAAAGAAGACTAATATGACTATTGCTGAAGCTGCTATGAAGATTGATGGTGATGATCTCTCTTCTTTCCTTGCTGATGTCTCGGTTAGTTTTTGGTTTCATGTAGTTTTTTGCTCAAATTTTACTTCTTTGGCATATTAATGGTTTGCGAATACTCTATTTCACTTCTTGTGTTACTATTTTTCTAAAACCGGTAAAATGTGCACCGGACAAGAAAATAGAAAGTAAAGTAGAAATTGTCACAAAAGATGAGTTAGAAAATTCGGGCACATCATGCATTGCTTAAATTGAAAATTCAATCTCTTGTGTTTGCCAAAATTTGATAAAATTGTAAATAAATAGTGAATATATGTGAATTTGGTCAGCTCTTCAAGTTTTGTATAGCAAAATTAGTGCATGTAATCTTCACTAATTAACCGTGCAACCTGAGTATTGCCACTTATGCACCCCGGATTGAGAATTACTATTAATCGAAAACAATATTCCATGCTTTACAATACATACATTTGGGAACATCACTAAATGCTTGCATTAGATTGAGGGATGTTATTCGTACAATTAATAAACAGAAGTACAAGTTTCTTGCGTTGAACATTTTAACTTTGATCTTGCAAGTGTATTTCTTTGTAACTTAGTTGTTTTCTTTTTGACAATTTGTAGGCATCGTATGCATCACAAGAGGAGATTCAACTAACGAGATTTGCAGATTATTTTGGACGAGCATTTTCAGCTGTGAGTGCAGCACAGTTTCCATGGTTGGAGTTGTTCAAAGAGTCATCCCTTGATGCAATTGCCGATGTGAGTTGGTTTTGGAGATAGCTACTGCCCAATATGGTTTTTTCTCCATTTTACCTTTACTTGACGCCGTGTCAAGAAGGGAGGAAAGAAACAGAAAGAAGAAAAAGACAATTACTTGAGAAAAAATCAGAATAAATTTGCATTCAAGTAGTCACATATAAAGAGTGGTTCCTTCAGGCATAACAATCTTTTGGCACTTGTTCATTTCGTTTTGGTCTTCCATACTGCATTTTAACTCGTGCAATTCATTCATGTACATATAAAGAATACATTTTGTATAGGAACTAAGCAATTGATAAACGTAATTTGGTCAATTGCTTTGTGTTGAGCAGATCCCCGTTTGTCATATAAAAGAAGTTGTCTATAGGACTTCGGTTGACTGGATTAATCAACTTTCCAATGAATCACTCGAGTCCTTTATGCTATGGTCATTGGACTGCATTCTTGCTGATTTAACAATGCAGAAAGCTGGATCTAAGGGCCCCAAAAAAGGAGTTCAAGCTTCATCATCAAAATCTCAGGTACAATCTCCAAAAATGGTTCTTGAGCTAGCGTTGATTGTGGACATATATTTCCTATATATCTTGGTCGAGGACAACATTTAATTGTTGGACATTTTACCAATAGATTACTTAGCTGATTCATTTCTTGTTGCAAGTAGACGTGTACATGGCTATAAGAGCTTTGTTAAGTGGAAGAGATCTGATATCTCTGACATGTTTCTTATCAGATCTCTTGCATTGTTGCTGTAGGTCGCTACATTTGTCGTAGCATCTATGATATTGCGACGAAAACCTGACATTATGATTAATCTATTGCCAATTTTGAGGGCTAATTCGAAATATCACGGCCAAAATAAGCTTCCACTCTACATATGGATGATAATTCAGGTATATACCTACATGAACATCCCGTCACTTTGGCCAAAATAAGCTTCCAATTATTTGTTCGTCTTCATGAACATGAACGGATGACCAAGCTAAATTTTCTTTGTCCAGGCCTCTCAGGGAGATTTAACAGTAGGATTATATCTATGGGCACATTATGTCTTGCCTATATTGGGAGCAGGCAGCAAGTCAAGTTCAAATCCACAGACAAGGGATCTGGTTTTACAATTAGCAGAAAGGTTTGAAATTGTTGAGCATAATTCAAAATTGCAATGCTTCCTTGGTAAATGCTTTTTTACTTATAAAAGTTGCTCTTTTGTTCTTCTTTCCACAGAATTCTTTCTAGACCTAATGCGTATAAAATCTTGGTAAACGGTGCTGTAAGAAAAGGAGAGCGTTTAATACCACCTTTGGCACTAGACCTTTTGCTACATGTGACATTTCCTGCATCATCTACCCCAATCAAGGTGAAATTAAACCAATTTACAGTATAAATCATGTAGTATAATTGGTCATTGATGTTGTTTTCGTGATGGAGCAATGCCTAATGTTTAGATAAATTTTTTCCACACTAATAGTGTATATATTAACGAGTTTAAATGCATGTTATATATGTAAAATTTAGAATTCAAATTCAAATTTTACACGTGTTGTATGTCCAGAACCGCTAAAATATACGTTAAAATTATAGGAATGGTTAACCCCTATATTTTGAGCACAAAATTAGGCAGCCAAAATATTTCTTTTTGCCTGGGGGATAAGTAGTTAACATAATTTTTTGATAATGCAAAGCAGGCAACTGATAGATTTGAGGCAATATATCCCACCCTCGTTTATGTTGCTCTTGCTGGTACTCCTAGAAGTAAATCGATGAAACAACTCGCCCTACAAGTTCAGGATTTTGCAATGAAAGCAACTCAGGAAGGTAATACATTTCAAACCTGAAAAATGACTTTCCATTGTGGATTCTAACGACATGGCAATATTCTCTATCTGTCTTCAAATGATTTTTGCAGGAAACCCAAAATTATCCCAAGAAGCCACCAAGTTGTTACTCTGGTGTTTGACTCAGAATACCGAATGCTACAAGGAATGGGTAAGCTAGAATTCCTGTCTACAAGGAGCTTTCATCAGAAACTCCCCTAAGGTTTCTCTTTATATCATCTAGCGCCCCTAAGGTTTTAAAAATATCATTTACTTCCCTTATTTTTGTTATTTGTGTAACAAAATTTTTAAAAATTCTAAACTACCCTTTTGCTTGCTAAATAAAAATATTCCTAAACCGCTTTATTCACTTCAAGAAAATCATCATTTACAAAATAATCTCTTGTAATACTATTACATCATAATACTATACTCCATAAAACTATAAATTTGAAAAGTAAAAGAGATATTTGAAAATAAATACACTTGCACCAATTTAACTCTATGTGCTTAAAACTGATTTCATATAAACTTTATATTTTTTTTCCAACATCTTGTCAACTCTTGCCCAAATCATTAAATTGTACCAATCATTATAAAAATTAATTCAAAATAAGTAAATAAATAATACCTCACTCTATCACAATCACAAAAGTTAAAAGAAAAATAAAATTCAATTTATTATAATTTACAAAAAACATATTGCATAGTCATCCAAAAAATAAGTACGAGAGAATGGTGGAGAAAAGGGAAAGAGAAGAAAGTTACTTTCATTTCTTTTTTTTTTAATTTTTGAACTCCATTTATTTGATATGTGAATTGTGTATCAAGTAAGGATTAATATAGTCTTTTCACAATTATTAGGGGAGGTAAGTGATATTTCTAGAATCTCAGGGATACCAAGTGTTATTACGAGAAATCTCAAGGGAGGTTTCTGATATTATCCCTCTCTTTCATTGTTTTCTTCCAATATTCTTTTGGTCTTTCTGAAATTTATGTTAAAATCAATAGCTAATGCTATTGTTTGCAATCCATCTGTACAGGAAAAGATCTATGCAAATAACCTGGAAACAAGTGTGGCTATCCTCCAAAAGCTTAACCAAAGATGGCCAGAGCTAGCTTCAAAGCTGGCTTCTGCCGATGATTTACGCGACACTCTCAAGAGTTTTAGGCAAAAGGTAGGTATAATTTTTTCCTCTTTCATACAAGATTGTTGGTTTTGCTTGTTTCCATTGATTTAAAAGTTGTACAGTTCACATTTAACGAAATTTAAGGCAGAGGAATCCAATGTTAAATAACGGTTTTTTTTTTTTTTTCTAAATCAAATGATAACTTTTAACAGAATGAGAAAGCACTAAGGGGTGGAATGGATCCTGCTCGTCAAGCCCTTTTGAAGGAGGCAGACCAGAAGTGCAAGGTTATACTGAAGAAGATGTTTATTGAGCAGAATCGTTGGATGATTATTAAACTCTTGGCCTTCTTTCCAATCCTTCTAGCCTTTGCTGCTACCTTTGGATATAAGGAATACTTGAGGAGATTTTGAGATTTTGGGGATGGAACCATTTTTCATCAAGATTTTTGTGGATTAGGCCAACTTTTAGTTTCAATTTTGCTAGAACATTGCCAGTTATAGTCTGGGCAAAATATGCACTAATTCTGTTACTTATGGCTAATGTTGTAGATCAAAATGTGCTCTTCCTTTATATGTAGTGTAGATAAATAAATAGTTGCAATTTTTAAGAATTTTTGGAACTTTTGCTTTAAGAGCTAAATGTAAGCAGAAAAGCGAATAAAATTGTTATTGACTTGAATTTTGGATAAATTACCTTTTATCTCCATGGGTTTGGTGTTTCATCACGTAACCACCTGTGGTTTAATAACTTGTATATAACCCTCTCATAGTTTGGGTTAGTTTTTCCGTTAAAACTAACTGTGAATGGTAAAATGTCAAAGTCAAACTAATAAATTGATAAATTCATCCTTTTACTACTTTTTTTTTCTTTTCTTTCTCTCTATCTTTTTTTCTTTTTTGGAAAAGAAGAGATGATTTTGACAATCTATACTTTGGCCTGCAAATCTTAATTTTCTCCATATACAAAAGAGTTGGAATAGAAATAAAATATAAATAAATGAGAAACAAAAAAATGGAAGGGAAACATAAAACAAATAAATAAGAAACAAAAAATTTCAAATCTTTTTTTACTACAAATATCATTATGGTTTTTAAACCAAATCTTTAATGATATTTTTTAGTTCTTATTTATCTTTTTTTTTTATTTCAATTTCTTTTTTTTTATGTGTGGAGGGAAAAAAGAATTAATAAAAGGGTAAATTTATCAATTTATTAGTTTGATTTTGACTTTTTTTTTATTATTGATAGCTAGTTTTAATGGAAAAACTAACAGTGACACTTTAATCTATATTATGAAGGGGTAATATATAGAATTTTAAACCATGGGAGAGTTATGTGGTAAAACACCAAACAATAGTAGGTAAAAGGTAATTTATCCTTAAATTTTCTCTAAAAAGAATAAACATTATTTAATAGCCAGTCATTTGCGCCTACTAGCATGATGGATAGACAGACTAAAAAAAAAAAACATCAAATTCCAATACTATTACATTTTTGAGTTTTAGTTATTCATAATCTTCAGGTGTAGCCCAAGGATACTTGCGAGAAGCACCCTTGATTTGGGAGGGGTTTTCTGGGGTAGACCAAGGGTACTTCATGGATGGATCTCTTGGGAATTTTCTGAAGTTCAAGAAGGGTGCCCATAGTAGTAACCTGAGAGATATCAACCGAACCATCAGATATGGAAAAAGAAGAAGAAGAAGAAGAAAAATGTACCTCCACCAGAATTTTTTCCTCCAACATTAATTATGAATATTTGCTATTGACATTTTTTTTTTGAAGAAGAGCAAATTAGGCTTGTGTTTGAAGACAGAGAATGCTTAACTAGGCTTCATAACAACTAGTTTCTGTTTCACTATTTGCCACAAGTAATGATGTTAGTTTTTAGTTGATTAAATCAAAGTTTTGCACCCCCTTTAACAAAATGTATGTAGACTTTGTATCATGAACTTCTTTATGTGACAATCAATAGTAGTTGAACCTATAAGTTTAGGTATCATTTTTTTTTTCAAAACTGCAATTCCTCTAAATTGATGGCACCATTGTCTACCATTATCTATGTGCACTAATCACCTTACATACATTCAAGTACTAATTCAGCCGTCTAACAGGTTAAAATGTTCAGATACTACTCCTGATTATGAGAAATGGCAACTTTGAGCGCAAAGAATTAGAATTATAATGCTGGCAAAGTGGATCAGAAGTGGTTTTAGAGTAGGAATCACTTACCCTGGGAAGAATATGAATACAAACATGAACTGAAAGTACATCTCGATGAAGCCCCTTTTGTACCATCTGATCCTAAGCCAGTTCATAATGATTGGCTGCAATTATTAATTCACATATATAAATCAGTATTGATTTTTTCAACAGTTCGTGGTATCCATTGAGCCTATTTGCCAAGTCAAGAATATGGTAATGGCCACTCACTGGAAAGACAATAAAGTATATAAAAGCACATATCCCCAACTGAATTAAGATGGTTATCAAATCTTCTTCATCATTCACTCCTGTTACTGCTAAAGCAGGCTCTGCTACCTGTTTGGCAAATTTTCTCAAATTATTTAGCTTCAAGTTTGTAATGAGATATAAGACAAAAAAAAAAAAAAAAAAGTCAGTTGTTTACAGTGGCAAAAAATGCCCCAACTTGAATTGCCAAACTGGGAATTGCAGTTCCAATATTCTTGATGGGCTCTGTGCTGAGACTTCTTTGTGCCTGTTATCAACAACTAGCAAAATATGGGATTTAAGAATTCAGAGGCTAAAAGTAAAATAATGCAAAATCTGATGCAGTTTTCTTTTTCTCCATCAAATAAAATTGTCATACGGTTGACAATTTATTACCTTCAGCTTTGAAGGTGGAGGAATTTTACGTTTGCAGACAATCAAAAGTGGCGGGCTTTTGGATTGAGATGGGAGGCGGGGAGGCAAGGCCTTGGTGAATTGGAAGCCCAATGAACTGCTCATTTCAGAGCCAATTGTTGATTTCCTTATCCACAGAATGCATGAATTACATGCAAATTCAGGAAGAGAAGGTTTTGGCTGTTGTCTGCTGTAGCGTTCTATGGTATTATCAAAAATGAAAATGAGACTTGAGAAACAGCAATTGTGGGTGGCTCTCAGTGGTAACATATCCAAAAGCCCCTCACTAGTATTTTGACATGTGGCAACGAAGTAATTTAAGGGTGCAATTGAGAATTTGAGATAGTATAATTTAAGGGGGTAATGTGAATAAAGACCATTGAGTGATCTTTATTATTTAATGGATACATGTACACCAAAATAGAAGAGTAATTCTTGTGAGGGCAAGGAGTCAACTTCTAAGGCTTTTTAATTACAAAAAAAAAAAAAAAAAACTTCTAAGGCTTTTTAGTTTGGGGGAGGGAATTAAAAATTTAATTTAAGAGGGCAAAATAGATATCACCATAAAATCATTTGAGAACTTTGAGGGGCAAATATCTTAAAATTCATAAATTTTTTTTCAAAATTTCAAAAGAAGAAAATATAAATATTTAAAACTTGAGAGCGGTGGTCCCGTCTTACTCCGTAGTTCTATTCTTGTTTAGTTTAAGTTTTTAATCAATGAAAATTTGAGATTTGTATTATTAATCATGTATTAATAATAGACTTCATCCCACTAAAAATTTTCAAACTTCACAAAGATCCCTAAATCGATATACATGTAAATAAGCTCTTTTTAAATTATCCTTAGGGAATTAAGTGAGTTGATATTACAATGTCAAGGTTAATTAGATTTTTAATGAATTCAAAATACTGTTCAAGCTTTATTTGGATACTACGTGAATCGAGTTGAAAGGCGTCAAGTTGAAATGTTGAATATACGAACATACATATACCTGTTAAGTTTTATACTAGTATTTTTTTACTTAATAAATCAAGTTTAAAAACCTTTTTTTGAGGAAAGTTTGAAAACTTATTAAGGATAAAATCTTGCACCAACTTGGTTGATATAACACAAATCTTGGCTGATATGTGGCTATTTTCTCCAAAAACTAAAAAAAAAAAGGAAAATAAAAGACATCTAACATCATTTTCAAAGCAAGAAAGGAAAATAAAAATAATAATTAACTATTACCCATAAATACTTACAAACTCCTTGCTTTTTATTTTCAAAAAAAAGGAAAATAAAAGACATCTAACATCTTTTTCAAAGCAAGAAAAAGGAGAGAATACAAATGCACCATTTTCATTTGTTTAGTCCTCAAAACCACAAAATCCCGAGTCCTTTTATCGAAAAAAAATGGAAGAAAATCCCCAGTCCAAAACCTTGGCTTAGACACAGAAACCCCGGACTGTTATTCCTTCCAGAACCTCTGTTTTGTTCTATTTCATCGACAATCAGATAGAACTTATGAGTGCCAAACATCGATTTTAGCATTGCATAAATGGCGCTGATAATCCCAACCCAAATACAACTCAAGCCCCCCAATCCGCTGCAAAATCAAATCTTGCATCCTCGAGTGGGATTTGTTACAGTTAGAACCAAGAAAACCAACTGTTTTAGCAGTGATAATGTTAATCATTACAGATTTAAGCTCAGAATAGGCTATAAAGATTCAATTTTTAGAACAAGGGTCTCTGATGATAGTGGTGCCATCCCATTTCAGCCTTCATCTTCTGCTGTAAGCTTTCTACATATCATCGACTTTCCATTTGTCTTCATCCCATTTCACTCACGTTTTATTCTAAGATTTTGTGTATATGAGTATAGTGATCGAACTCTGATGTTTATTCGGAGTTTTTTTTTTTTTTTTGTGATTAATGGTTTTTACTGTGAAGTCTAAATTTGTTGCTGTTTTTGTAATGCTGATTGTATGCTGTGCTATAGATATCAAGTAGCATACACAAGTGTTGGCTTCTTGAAAATTATATCAGTGATCGAGATTCTTGCAAAATTATGTTGAGGAATTATTAGAATTTTTTCATGTTTATTTCAGTCTGAAATCGATATTGTCTGGTCGATTATGTAACTGTTTTTATTGCTGTTGAATTTTGGAAATTCAATTATCCATCCTTCACCCCCCACCTCCCCGCCCAAAAAAAAAAGGGGAAAAGCAAAATTTATTTGAGTCCTATTGGAGTAGCTTAATCTCGCCTTTGAGTTGCCAATCCTAAGTTCTTGGAGTAGAACTGTGGAAGGCCCAGGCAAGTATTTATATAGGGGACAATGGTGTATCTTTACAACTGTACACTTCCATGTAAGATCAAAGCGCAAAAAATCTTAACTTGTCTTTTATAATGCTAAGCAATAATTTGATTGAAATCCTGAGAATAAAAATCCCAAAACATGCTACTTGCCGATGGCAATATTGTGTTATATTTGGGGTCACATGACTTTAGTCATACCATCCATGTTGGTGTATCTTAAGTTCATCAAAGTTTTTGCTGTGGCTAATTTTTTGTTTTCCTTCTCTTTTGTTTTTCCTAGTGCAGCTGTGTTATTTGGAGTTATCTGGTGCTTAAAATTCATATATTACCTTGTTCAGGACGATTTTTATTGTTCCAAACTATACTATTCTGTGCAGCTATATTTATTTTGTTAATCAACCCTTTTCCACCTTTTTTATGGGCCAAAATTCTTGATATTGACATGGTCAGTAAAGATGTGTCTTTCATCATGTATACATGTCATTATTCTGTTCCTTTTTGACATGTACTTTTACCTTTAAATTTGCCATTACTTTTTATGCATATGTGAATGAATCAATTGCCACTCGGTATCAGGATGTTGATGCACGAGGGAGGAGCTCATCTGGGAGCAGTGATGGTTATGTGGCATTATTTGTACGGATGCTTGGATTGGATAACGATCCTCTTGATAGAGAACAAGCTGTAGTTGCACTCTGGAAGTACTCACTTGGAGGGAAAAAATGCATAGATAATGTCATGCAATTCCATGGTGCTGTAAATCTTACTGTTAACCTTCTCAAGTCTGATTCTGATTCTGCATGTGAAGCTGCTGCTGGAATCTTGAGGACGATTTCCTCCATTAATGTTTACAGAAACACTGTGGCCGAAAGTGGGGCAGTAGAGGAGATAACTAGCATGCTTAGACGAATTTCCTTGTCTTCAAATGTATGCAAGCTATTTAAATATTCATACTTTTGTACATGTATTCTTATGATATATCATGTGGAAAATTTTCAATTTGGATTTTTTCTGCAGGTGAAGGAGCAAGGCTTATGTACATTGTGGAACTTGTCTGTAGATGAGAATATCCGAGTGAAAATTGCGAACTCAGAGCTCCTGCCTTTACTTATTAAGTTCTTGGAGGATGAGGACGTACAAGTGAAGGAGGCAGCTGGAGGTGTCCTGTCTAATTTAGCACTTAGCAATTCTAACCACAAGATCATGGTTGAAGCAGGTGTTATTCCAAAATTGGTGAGGCTTACTTCATATCTATTTTACTTTGGGTTGGGAAATTCTTTGTTCCTAGTATGCTACTCCATAGCTTTAGCGAGTTGTTAAAACTCTTTAAGAAGCCTACCCTGTAACTGTCAGAATCAATTGTAGGTTTGAGGAATAAAAGTTGTCTGTTCACATGATTTCTTTTGGCAAATATAAAAGAAATGTTGCAGATGTCCAGGAGGAAAAAAAATTAAGGAAATGTAGTTCATTTTGTCTGCCTATTTTTGAGTTTGGCTTTCAGAAACCTCAAGCATATTTTTTTAGTTAATCAATATTGTGATGATCGAACAACTTTAAACTATGTTTTGGATTCTTTTTTCATTTCTAAAATCATTAGCATCAAATTAGAGAAACTAATATAACAACTGTATTGAGAATTTGACTAGTAATAGTAGTGAATAGTTATATTTAGAATTCCCAACCAAAGATTAAAATTATGTGAGGAGAACAAAATGTTCCATGTAAGCGTAGTTAAGTAGTTGTAATAAAGCTATATGAATATGTCAATCATGACAGCGGAAAAGAGAGGAACAACTAAAAGCACTCATGAAAGTCCTTGTAGGAATTTTCATGTTGTTATTCCTTTGGAAAAATAATTACGCTTAGCATGGATGATGTTTTCAGATGATTGGTGCTAGGGGACATACTGAGTTATTTTCAGGGAAAGAAAACATTTAGGTCCAACTAGGAGAATCCCTAATTTCAGGACACTCTTTCCTTGGCTTGTGCTTTTGGCTGTCATCTCCAATAGAAATTGTTACTTTGGAATTTAAAGATTGTCCTGCATCAATGTCCTCCCACACATGGAGTATTAACATGAAATTTTCCAGTATAAGGTTTTATGAAGATAAGTGGCTGTTAGGATTTTACTAACATGTAATTCTCAAGTATTAACATGTAATTTTCATGTATAAGGTTTTACATGTATTAACATGTAATTTTCAAGTATTAGATTTCATGAAGGTAAGTGGCTGTTAGGATTTTACTAACGTTAGGCACTTTTCAGGCAAATCTCTTGAAGAGTAATGAGGAAGGGTACAAGGTCATTAGAAAAGAGGCGAGAAATGCATTATTGGAATTTGCTAAAGATGATTACTATAGGATTCTATTATTAGATGAAGGTCTTGTTTTGGTTCCTTTGATTGGTGCAGCTGCCTACAAGTCTTTTAAACCAGCTTTGTATTCATGGCCATCTTTACCTGATGGCACAAAGCTTGAGCAAGGTTCAACAGCTCCTTCAAGATATGGTGCTTCAGAACTGCTAATTGGGTTGAATATTGAAGACCAGAAACTAGATGAGGCAAAAAAGAATGCCATAGTTGGACGAACACAACAACAGTTCCTCGCTCGTATAGGAGCCATAGAAATGGAAGATGAGAACAAATCAGACTCTAAATCATCCTCAAGTTGGAGGTTCACACTTTTGCCATGGGTTGATGGTGTTGCTCGACTAGTTTTGATTCTTGGACTTGATGATGAGTCTGCTATTGCCAGAGCTGCAGATTCCATTGCTGATTCATCTGTCAATGAACATATACGCTTGTCATTCAAGGAAGCTGGAGCAATTAATCATCTTAGTCAATTACTTAATCATCCAAATGAAACTGTTAGGTTGCCCGTTATTCGAGCTTTGGAGAGACTGTCAATCAGGTTGCCAAGTGCATCATTTTTATCCCAGTCTGATTTAAGCTATCCTAGCTCATTCTTTGTATGATATCTGTTCATTTTCATTTCTCAGCCAAAGAAATTTGATTTATGTGATTTTTTGGGACTTTTTTTCTTATATAGTCCTTGGATCTTACTGCCAACTAGATCAGCTTGGGGATCGGCATTAAACTGTGAAAAAAAATGTAGAAATTATATGTCCTCTCCAGAAAAACCCTCTTGATTCCATTTCTTGGCTGTTCTCCTTTTAAAAACATTGTCCTCTTTTTTTTTCTTTTGTGAAATACTCCATATATTTTATATCCAATGCTGCATTATGCTAACAATGTTTGTGTAGCTAATCTGACTTACTTTTACATTTACATGATTTTCTAATGTCTGTTTCTCTTAGAGTTCATATGATTCAATTACATAGTATTACGCTTCGTGTTCATGTTGCTAAGAAAGGAAAATATTGTTTTTGCATATGCACTTGAGAAGTCTTTAAGTTTTGATATTAAAAATGTAACTGGTGTGATACCTGTTCCTAATTCATGGTCACTTTTGAATTCGTAATCTACATCTTGAGTTGTCTGAGATCAAATTCTTTCATGGCCTCATGGTAATTTGTCAAGAAGTAACTTCATATGTTTCAAAATGCAGCAATGATGTTTGCCAGATAATTGAAAGGGAAGGTGTTGTTTATCCTTTGATTAATTCACTGATGCAATTTGAGACATCTGGAAGCTCAACAGAGATGGTAGTGGAAATTTTCCAATATTGTTTCTCTTCAATTTTAATTTCTGTAATTAATAAAGGGCTTTACATTGTTTGTAATGCAGATTTTAAACATTCTTAATCGGATTCTGGACCCTGATAAAGAGATGAAGTCAAAGGTCTGTACCTACTGCTCAATAGCAGTCAAAGATTTCGTACTTGTTTTCAATGTGAACCGAGCGTATTTTTCGCTTTCAGTTTTATGATGGACCAGTTAATGCTTCAAAGAAGGGATGGAATGCTACAAGAAATTCTCAGTCACCTGGGTATCTGAATGAGATGGCTGAGTCAAAGTCAACATCCAGGTTCTTTTCTGTTCATCAGAAAAGCTCACTTATATTTTAGTACCAATTTGTTAATACTTGTTTTATTACCAGCTCAATGTGCAAGAAAGCAAACTGAAAAAAAAGGAGGTAGTAAAAAAGATGAAAATTTATTTAGTGCCTAGATTATGAAAAAAAAGGAGGTAGTAAAAAGATGAAAATTTATTTAGCGCCTAGATTATATTGGACGAGTCTTGCGGTTTTGGCTATTGTGTATAAATAGGTTTTCACCAAAATAAGGGCCATTTAAGACTCCTAGTTTGCTTGCAAATACTGAATGAGCGAGAGACTATGCTGCCTGAAATATGCTCCTGTGATCATAAATGAGAAAACAAATGGATGCTGGAATTTATTACACAAGGTAAATGAAGATAATTTTATCAGATTCACTGATTTCATTAGGAATCTCTAGCAGTGTCCTGCATGGGACATTAGGATAATCCATAGCCTTGTCTCTTGACTGGAACTGTTAGCTTTCTCATAGAGATAATGTATCACTACTTGTAGAAAAGGATGGTCAGGCTAACCTTATTTTTTATTATGTGTGTTGATGTATCATTTCTTGTACTTAACCTTGCTAAAAGGTAAGAACTACCTTCTGAGGTGAAGGATTGTGAGGTTTCCTTGGGATCAGTGGATTATGCCTTCTTAAATGATGCGTACCACCTCCTTCTTAGCAGACAATACATGTTAAGAGATATGTATTTGACCTAAGAACAAAATCACTCCAATCTTCTGGTACCTTACTAAAAATTCAAATGCTTTCCTCTTTCTCAACTTATGTCTGGGATGATATGCCATTATGATAGGGTATCAAAACAAGTTCCATACAGTGTCTTAGAATCATAGAATCCCCTCCTGCAGAGGGCAACATGAAGCACGGTGAGAGCCATCTAAATGGCTAATAGGGTTATTTTTTGTCAGAGAAATAATAACTACAGCTGAGTCACCATTGAACTTTTCTATCTCTGAATGGCTGCCTCACATAGAGGGCTTCTGTTGTTCCCCAAGGAAAAGGTTATCTTCTAGTTGTAGGTTTGAAAAAACAAGAATAGTGAATTTTAAGCAGCCAAGTTTATTGTTGTTTATTTATTTACTCCTCAATATGATAAAGATGCCACTCTGTGGTTCTGAAGGGATGTCAGTGTACATATATGTATATATATCATGCATTACTGGAACAGACTGATAGACAAAATTATTTACTTTTTTACTCTTACACTACATTCTTCTTGTAGCTCATTTACTTAGTAGTCATCACAGTATTTTTTGGTAAGTGCTACAAGCTAATTCATGATTAAGAAGAAAAAGTGACTTCATTTGGCCAATCCATACTTTCCATTCAGAATATATTTTTCCAACGTTAATTGCTCATGATCTGCTGGTTTCGGTTTCTTTGCCTTCATTTCAGGTTTCCTTTATGAAGCAGTAAGGTGTGTTCTTTCAGTGTATTTGACACGCAGCTTTTACTTTTTCTTTGGGTCTCTAAGCTTGAATTTGATTTTTGCATCATTTTTAGGGCAAAATTTGACAGTTAATAAGCATTTCCTTGTTCAAATTTTTAACACGGTAGTCTGCTGTCATTTTTTTCTTTTCAGATTCTTGTTATGCACTACAAGTTTCTGTGTTACTTTGTTATAATGATGATTGCAACTGACTGTCACTGCTAGACCTCAAACTAAGTCTACTTTTTTCTACAGTGTGCAAACCATGTATGTCAGAGACTTCGTAAATTCTGCCTTCTTAGCTCGCATCATTGAGATTTTGAAGACATCATCCCCCAATTTGCAAAAGAAAGCTGCTTCCATCCTTGAGTTTGTCATAGTTGATGATGCATGTGTGGAAATGGTCATCTCAGTTGATGTAGCATCTGGCTTAGTTTGTGTTTTCCAACAACGTTTAAGCGGTAAGGAAGATGCTTCAGAACTGTAAGATGCAAAACATTTATGAATGCTTCTTCCTTTTCTAAACTGTTGCTTTGGAGTTCATTTTGATTTAGATCACTGAACCTGCGTTGAGGACTAGTAAATTTATACCTCATGTCCATTCATCTAGGTGTGGCTGAGCAAATACCAAAAAAAATGATTACAGATAAGCTCAAGAAGATAGAAGTGAATCACACTTTACTTCTTTCAGGCAGATGACTAGAGCTAGAGAAGAAAGAGAAACTTTTCTATAAGTTTCCATTTCCATTTGCTCCAAATCAAATGTAAAGGTCCTAGCCATCCATTAACGTGAAGCTACTAGTTAGTGCAACCAGACCAACAAGAGATGATTAACCACCAACTCTAACATGTCATTCTTGTTTTGGAGAACCTAGTATGCACATTCTGGATTCAAATGCACCTGGCTTTTGCAACTTCAAAGTCTTACTAAGGCTTTCAGTGACATTCTTCTTTTTTTTTTTTTGGTCAAGCTATTGTGATTAGAGTTACCTGGGATTTAAGTATTTGGAAAGTTAATTTATGCCATTCTATAGCCCTTATACAAAAAAGCAACTGGTAGACACCTGTAGTTTTAAAAACGTCAAGGTGTTTCCCTCACTAGCCAAGCGAATCTTGAATATTTTCGTCCCACCACACACAGGTTTTGGGTATCTCACATTCCTATTTTTATTTGAGGTGAAGAACATCTTTTATTTGGTCAACTAATGGTAGTTCTCCGTTTACTGTTAACCTTCTGGCTCTCTAATTATTTCCCTTCCCCTGTATTGCTTATTTGTGATGCTCAGTCAAATTTAGTCTATCTTGAAATTATATGCTTCCTTCCAATTTCTATTGGCCTTAATGTGGAATTAAGATTCTCAGAGATTATTCATTCAAGACATACTACTGAAGCCTCATTTCTATTGGCCAAATGAAGCCTGCGATACACACTCTCTTTCTACCTGATTGTGCTAAATACGTGTGTGTGTGTCTGCATGTGTGTACATGTGTCTGTTGCTTAACTATTCTAGAACAGTTTTCTTGTTTGTCCACTGTTCATAATCTACCTCATTTCTAATTTGACAGATATAGAAGCTGACACAGATGTACAGAGACCAGAATTATTGGCCCTGCAAGTTGAAGAAGCTGGTCAAGCAATATCAGCAGCATCCCGCTTATTTACAAGATTGCTTGATTCTGAGCACTTCCGCAGCACTACAGACACACAGCATTTCATGCATTTACTTCGTAAAATTCTGATATCTGAGATTCCTATTTGCTACAAGGATTGGGTTGCTTCTTGTCTTGTTAAACTGAGTTCTTTCTCTGGTCCAAACCTGGACTTTGAGAATCCAGTAAATATGGAGGTAACTCTTTATGAAACAATCCCAAGGTTGATAGAGCAGATAAAAACCTCATCTTCACCAGAACTCCAAGAGGCTGCAGTTATTGAACTTAACAGAATAATTTCTGAAGGGGTGGTTGATTCTACCAGAGCAGTCGCTGCACAGGGTGGCATTTTTCCATTGGTCAAGTTGATTGAAGAGGGTAGCAACCGAGCGATGGAAGCTGGTTTATCAATACTATACAATTTGAGCATGGATAGTGAGAACCATGCAGCAATTATATCAGCAGGAGCTGTTCCTATTTTGAGGAGAATTGTGCTTTCGCAGAAGCCACAGTGGACAAGAGCTCTTCATTTGCTCAGGACTCTACCCACCTGAGAATAGTGTAAAAACTGAATGTAATTTCCATGTAAATTTTCGCCATTTTTGGCAAATGTCAGTCACAAACTAATTTTTTAGTGGTGATGATCCTGGGACGGTAGAAAAATCGTATCAACCCAATAGAAGACCGGGTCCAATTTTGGATGTTAAGTATACACAATTTTCACCTGTTCTAATGCTTAGATGAAATAAAAGTTGCTTCCTCCCTGCTCCCTCTTCAAATCCTAGAATGCCATTTTTGTGCTTGTGGAACTGCTGCCGCATAAGGAGAAGTGGATTAGCATCTTAAAGAAAATTGTAATGTATGCCTCTCATCATGTGAGACTAGACAATTTGTCTTAATTACAAGACTGAAACCAATTTGGGACTAGATAACACTTTAAGTGGCTGCACAAGAAAACCTAAAACAGGAGATGAAAGGCCAAAAACAAGTTCAGTCTACTATCTTGACTTGGAATTGGGACCGGTCAAGGCTTGGTTTTGTCTATCAGATGGTTCAGATAAGATATTTCAGTGCCGCCCGTTTAAGTTGCAGTATTGGATGCATCTTCTTTTGCAACACTACAGTAAGTTTCAAAGCAAAGGATATCAAAAAGAAAGCAGAAGAATGGTAAGCTTGAACTGCCTTTCCATTAACAAACTTCAAATTCTTGCCTCCACAAACAAAACTTCTTCACCTTCCACATCTCATCAAGGCAGCCCCCCTAAGCGTTCACATCCCACAATAGACACTGGCAGTAGTTCCCCAACAACATCACAGCCACCATCAATACCAAGGCTGAAGCAGAAGAGAAAGCAGAAGCAACCATCAATTCTGGAGATTGAAAGAGCCGTCAGTGCAGGCAGTTTTAGAGACACAGAACCCGTCAGGCAACTACTTTTTATTTCATTTTTGACTTGAGTACTTCTTGTTTTATCATGAAAAATGGTTCTAGCATTGTCTGGAGTTCCCTGATTGATTGCTTTTTGGGATTTTTTGTGTTGAAAATGTTTAGGGACCCAAAAGAGAAGATGTCCCTGTTTGGTACCCCCATGTCAACTGAAAGCCCTGTGGAGAAGCAACTACGTGAGACAGGGGAGTGGATTGCTGATAAAACGGAAGCCTCTTTTCGCTCTGCTGGTACTGACCGTATTGTCCTGAAAAATATTATTTTGTCGTCTTCAATATAATATTTCAAAGCATGAATTTCTACTAAACTTATGCATGAAGTTCTCCTGATTTGTATAGTATCCCAGATTGATCGGAATTAATGCACTTGTGCATTCAAGTAGGGCAAAGATTTGATAGCCTGGCAATCCATTTCTTTACGAAGTGACCTTAGAAAGTTAAAGTGTCCTATGTCTACTGTTGAATGATAATGATTATGAGGCGTACTTTTGGTATTTTGAGATGATTCTTATCTTTGATTCAAGAAATCCAATCAATTTGTCAATGAAACTTTTGTTATTATCAACCTGAAATCCTTCAAATTATAAAGCTTTCCCCCATATTTCGTTGTCTAAAACCAAACATGCCTTCTTATATTTAAACTGCAAAACAGTTCTCATCCCAACATTGCTGGTAAAATTTTAGCCAATTGCAAATATGGACTTGCATTTTTTCTTCTATATGCGTTTATGCTGCTCGGCCGGTGCTTTTAAATTTTTAATTACTTGCTTTTTATCTAACTGTCAAGCATGTCAATCACTATTCCAGGATTTAAAACTTCACAACAAAGGCTGGTAGATTTCAGATTACATGAAAAAATAGTTTATAGCCTTTTACAAGCTTATCCTAGATCTTTGCTGCACCAAGTTGCAAAGGGTAGTATATTCCTTGTCACTCAGGTCATTAGGTTCTCCATTATGTTTACTTTCAATGGCCTTTTCATGAATCACAAATTAAATATATCAGATTCATGCTGCTTTTCCCTTTCTTGTCCACCATTTCTGTAAGGAATTAGCGTTTGCAAGAGAATGGAGAATGATTAATCCATTGAGAAAGACGGTAAGAGAAGAAAAGAAGCAAAGAAGCAGAAGTACGTCTATACTGAAGTGGCATTAGTCAAGAGCTGCTTATTGTATCAAGAACCTCTTAAGTCTTAACAGTAGTTTAAAGCATTTAAAAAAAAAAAAAAAGGAATGATGGAAAATTACATCTTTTACTGTGTTATGGGATTTGCATTTTTCTCATACAAAGAAACCATAAGAAAAGATTTCAGACTGCATGAACAAAAAAAAATTGCACTGTTTTATATCTGGCTATCCTGAAGAATATTGCCGACTTAAGATCTTCATGCAGTTGTTGGAACCTTAGCTACTTTCAAAATTTAGTCTTGTGCAGTTGAAAGACAGTTTAACTCTACTGTTACCTTGCAGGGAAGCCAATTCTGATGTTTACATTTCAATGGATGCTACCTTTGTGGCTTTTTGCATTCTTCGTGGCTTCTGGGATCATAAAGCTTCCATTTGACACCCCTTTGCTTGATGACTTCATTATGTGATAAAGCTTACTCTCCTCTGTAAAATTGATGAAATGCAGTTCTACGCTCCATATCTGGCTGACTAAAAAATTCACATTTTGAAAGTCCATAGTCCATAAAGCATCATTTAGGTCTTCAGTAACCACTTCTAGTAAAACTGCAACTATGTTGCAAAGAGCCAGATATGTCTGTGTGTATATATATATTGTGCTGAGTTTCACCTTCATGTAATTCAACTCCATTTGTAGTATTAGTATACCTCATTCTAGTGGAAAAATCATATCTATAACTCCCTTAGTAGCATCTTTTTTAGGATATACTACCTTTTTTCCATTCGTTGTTTTTGGTTTTGTGTTAGAGAATCAATCGTGGAATTCCAAACCCCATTGATAACTCGAAGCAGGATGTATAGATCACAGGTGAAGCGCCTTACATACTGATCATGAATTTCATTGCCTACCCCGTACTTATTTTATTCAGCTGATTGCAGAATTTCATTCTCTTAAATGTAGACAATTCTTATACAAAAATTACTTCAGTTTTGATAGAAAGAAGCACAGCCTTAAAATTGAGAGAGAGAGAGAGAGAGAGAGAGAGAAGAAGAAGAAGACGAAGAAGAAGTATTCATTCTACTTTTGACTTGTTTATGTTACAGAGTTTCCAATTAATCTACCATATGTTACTATCATGGAAATGCTGCTATATAACCTAAAAACGGGACACTGATTCATGCATCTGACAGTGATTCTTGTAACATTGCTGTTTTAGTAGGAAAATCGGATGGCTCTTCAAATCCATGATCATCAGAAGAGGTGACGTGCAATCTCTTTCTATTGCAGTTTGTCTGCTGAATCTGGAATTAAAATTTGCTTGAAATCAAAGCTAATAACTTGCATGAACAAACAACAATCATGATCCTTAATTCTTAGATTGTTAGATAAGGTGACATGAAATGTGAGCACCTGCAATGACAGAGCTAAGGGGGACTGATAGGGCCATGACCCCCCCCCCCCCCCAAGTTAATCTATAGGGCCATGACCTCCCCGAATTTTTTATAATTTTAATTTTTATTACGAGAGTTTATATATATATATATATATATTTATAATTAAAGTTAATATTTGATTTTTTTTAGATGTCATATATTTAAATGAATGAAAATTATTTGGAACATAACATATTAAGAAAATTTTGGCCTTCCAAGAAAAAAAATCCTGACTCCGTCATTGGACATCTATTGAACCTATTGAAGAAGTCGGGGGTATGAGGAGCCTTACAATGGTCTGAGGAGCCTTACAATCCAAAAAACCTAGTAGAAGAAATTGTCACTTCTCTACTTAATTAAGAAGGTGGTGATTGGACAATTTCTCCACACAAGTAGGAAATAGAGCGTGTTAAAGTTGGTTAACAACTGTCGTTTGTTGTAAAACCACCCCCAAAAGAAGAAAAAGTCTTTAGACTTAGTCCACATGGGAGAAAAGTCATGAATAACAAGTCAATATTTATTATCTTTTTCAACAACAGCTGAATTCCACTGTTCTAGTAGTTATTTTTGGAGGATATGAACAAAATCTACGCAGGGAAGAAGAGCAAAGGCCGCCAAAGCCAAACAAAAACATATTCTTGTTCTATGACCATTGACCAGAGACCCTTTGACAGCTACATTTGTCTCCACCTTTAATGCCGGACGACTAGATCTAATGCTATGAGTTGATAACCCGTTAAAACAAACAGGGCATTGTTCATTTTTTCCCTTTAAACGGCAATCACCTCATTGGGATTTTTGTCTACGGCAATCGATGACTAGTTTAGTTTTTTCATTGTGACACTTGTTAATACACGTAAATTATCTAACTTCTCGTGTGAACGCAATAAATCCACATTTAATTACTTCTGCATTTAAATATTTTCTCAAATTAACTATAAATTTTATAAAAAGAAATTAACACCTCAAGACACGAGTTCCACATGAAATATTAATTATATACTCCCTCCGTCCCGTTTTCTTAGTCTTGGTCTTTTTTTCACACAGATTAAGAAAGTGTAATTAATTTGGTTGGAAACATAAATTTAGATTAATAATTTCCTAAAATACCCTTATGCTAATCAATGTAGTCAATGTATTCAATGTAATCAATGTATTCAATGTAGTGGGTTAGTATTTAATAACAATGTATTAATAACAAGATATTTAATAAGGGTATTTTAGACAATTTGAAAGATTACTACATTTCTTAATGGGAAAGTGGACTACAATTTGGGACGGGCGAAAAAGGAAAACAAGACTAACAAAGTGGGACGGAGGGAGTATCTTGTTTTCTATTATAATTTTTTACCAGTAAACTAAGACATTGTGGATTTCACTAATGACAGTGCGATGAAAAGAGAAATAATTCATCAAATATCCAGAAATGGTCGAATCCTTTCTTGCATTTTTGGCAAGTGACGCTAGTACTGTTTTCTGATTATTCCTTCAGCCAGCAAATCGGGTTTGTTGGACACGAAATCTTGGATGGATTGGTAGATTTCTTGAACTCAACTCTTGTATCATCGTTCATTATTGATCCACCTGCCTATCATATGTCACGACAATTGCTTTCATTTCAAGAATTCTACTGAAACTGCCATCCTCTTTTCGACTCTTGCTCTCTTCCTTCCTTCCTTCCAATTACTATTATAAGAGGGTGGGAGACCTCTAATTTCTTTATTTTTCTTTTTTTAGGTCAAAGGCTTTACTTCTATCTTGCAGAGGTTGAGTATTTCAGCAACAAATTCAGAAGAATGCATTAGAAAAAACCCTTCATAAAAGGTTGTTGAACATCCTTAACGTACCAAGTGTTTTGATTTAGATGCTACTCTGGACAACTTCTTGAATCAAGTAAATTCTCAAAGAGCAATTTTTAAAAATATTAGTCCAGATTATGCATGATCTAATTCTAAATTCAAATGTATATTTGCATAATTAGATTAGGCCATACTCATTTGGACGTGCATCATTACAGTTTTGTACCCTTTTTCCTTTTCTTACAGAAGTAAGAAATTGTTTAATTAAACATAATCCCAAATTTAACCTCAAAAGCCGGCAACTTTTGAGGCAAATCTGGGGACTTAACTACCCAACCCTTAACCCTCCCAAGAACGATGCGGGATAGACAGAATAGGGAAGCTTGTAAGGCTGCTGCTACTAAAGGATAAAAACCCCCCCACAAATCTCAGAAACCCCCTGCAATGTTTTTTCCTTTTTCCTTTTCTTATAGAAGTAAGAAATTGTTTAATTAAACCTCAGAAGTTTTGTACCCATCATCATAGGAAGCAAAAGAAAAGTTTCCACGGACAAACTTATACATTGTTTTTTCCTTTTTCCACGGACAAATGTGCTTTTGGAGGCAAGCCTTAAAAGATGATGGTAAAGCCTCTCAATCTGACGTAGAAAATGACAACAAATTAACAGTAAATTGGTACACCCAAGATAAGGTTCGGTTTGGATTGTTACTTTTTATGAAAAAGATTCTTGAGTTTTTACAGAATATTTTTTTTTTTCTATTTTTCAAGTACTTATTTATCTTATAAACATTACATCTCAGAATTGTGTTATAGTTTTTTTTTTCCACAATAGTTTCAAAAACTTTCCCAAAAAATACAAACCGAACAAGCTCCAAAATTGTGCTGGTATATACACAGAGACTTTTCAATTGAATTTACGTATCAGCGGTCAAGTTTGCAAGTTTTGGTATCAAAAATTGCTTGCAGAAATTGGGATTAGATGTGACTTGAAAGAGTAAACTAAAAATTTTGCTAAAGAAATTGGAGGGACAAATTTCAATATGCTTGAAAAAAAAAAAAAGGGACAGAATTTGGATATCTATTTGTCTAAAGGAGAAGGAGCAGATATGCACATCACTAATAACAGCTCGATCCTCATCAATTTTTCTCTTTATTAATGACTTGAATTTCTTTTGGTAGCAACCCTATGCAGAAACCCAATGGTGATTTGCTTTCTCAATCAAAACAAAATTTTTTTTTTTTTTTTTAAAAAAAAGAAAAATTTCCCATGTTTCCCCATTTTAGACAAAAAAAAGAACAGAAAAGAAGCTAAAGTTGGCGGTGGAATCACCAAAGCTGCAAGAAAACAGCTGCTGCCGACCGCTCAGATTGGTTTCTGTGATCAATCAATTTGATATTTTGTTTCTTTCCACCTATTATTGGAAGCACGTGTACATTATTCGATGAACAATAGAATATGGGAGTAATTAATCCTCTCCTAATTTAATTTCTTTATCTTGTTTGTCCCTTTCTTGAATCCCACAAGAAGGATTAATAAAATATTCATATTGAATGGTAAGTATATACAACTGAACCTATTCATATTACTAGTAACTGAAGGGTTTGATTAATTGATTATACTCCCAACTACTCGAGCCTGCCTTATGTAACCTATGACACAGCCTACTCAACAAAACCATGTGTAAATCGCATTTTTTATTTTATGAAAACCCTTTCATTTTTCCTACTATTCTTCTTCTGTACCAACCCAGAGGTATGAAGTGGAAGATTATGCATGCATTCATTTCTTGTTAGTTCATTCATGAATATGGTGTAATTTTGCACAATGTACTGTAAGGATTCTTGAATTGAATCTTGATATGTACATTTCTTGCATCAAATTCACTATAATTTCAGAAACCTCCCTCGAGGTTTTTAACTATTTCATTGGCCTTCCTCCAGATTTTGAAAATTACACTAACCTCCCTTGAGGTTAATTACCTTATAACATTAAGGCTCAACTAATGATTAAACAGTGACATTAGAAGAGAGAAGAAAATATGATTCCACCATTGCCCCTTATTTACTACATTATTTAGTTAATTTAATACCAACGCTTTCATTAAAGAAAAACACTAAAATTTACTATTTATCATTAGGAATTAAATCACATGTAGCATCAAAAAAAATATATATATCATTTTATATTTTCCGCTTAATGAAGGACCCAAGTAACTCTTTTCAGTTACATGCATATTATCAAATATGACTAACAATGAATAATTAAAAATAATTTGCAATTAAAGATTCTTGAATTGAATCTTGATATGTATATTTCTTGCAT